GGGAGAGACAGACAGAGGGAGACAGACAGAGGGAGAGACAGACAGAGGGAGAGAGACAGACAGACAGAGAGAGACAGACAGACAGAGAGAGACAGACAGACAGAGGGAGAGACAGACAGACAGACAGAGGGAGAGACAGACAGACAGAGGGAGAGACAGACAGACAGAGGGAGAGAGAGAGACAGAGGGAGAGAGACAGACAGAGACAGAGAGAGACAGAGACAGAGAGAGACAGAGAGAGACAGACAGACAGAGAGAGAGACAGACAGAGGGAGAGAGACAGACAGACAGAGAGAGACAGACAGACAGAGAGAGACAGACAGAGAGACAGAGAGAGAGAGAGAGACAGAGAGAAGAGAAGAGAATTAAGACAAAAGTAACAACCGTAAACAAAAGATATTGACAGCAAACAATAAAGATTATTATTAATTATTAATTAATTATTAAGTGTTCAGTGGCCTAAATGCTAAAGAAATCTTCGACATGACTTCAAAAATGAAACTGAAAATTAAACTTTTATCTTTTCAAACAGGGTCAGAAAGTAAGAACTTGCTAATAGTTTCATTATATGACAAACGACTCAATAAGACGCCGACTCACGAAGGTCCCGCTCACAGATTCCTTGTTTACTTCAGACTGCAGAGGCCTGGATGTGTTTAATTACCTCATCAGTGTATCGGTGTAACACCTACCTGCTGTGAGGTGGGCTGAGGTGTGGAGGCCATCTGTTCCGTCTTCACCTTGGACACGAGGGGGAGGGGCGTGAGACAGGAGGCGGGCCTCCCCGCGGCCGGAGCGACCACGCCGACTCCTCCGCCGCCGCCCCCGCCGCCCATCGTCTGAGTGACGGGGCTCTGGGGCTCGGTCTCCTCGGTGTGGAGGCCCTGGGAGTCACAGCTTGGAGACGAGACCTGGAGGTGTGTGGGTGACATGAGGGAGGATCTTTATGAACATACACACAATATATATATCAAGCCGCCGCTTCCTGTTGTTATTCCTTTATCGAACCTCTAAAGTACCGACAGCAGAACCTATATGACTTCAAATGTCTGGAACATTTATAAACTATGTACTTATACTATGATTAGATAAAAAAATCTTATTTAGGTGAAGCTACTGTTCTGGCTGATTGTAACACTTAAAGCTTCTTAATCTTAAAATGGTTTCGTAGAAAACATTATTCATTCGAGCTGTAATTCAAAAGATAAAAGCTAGATTAATCAATAAGGAAACTAATCTTTAGCTAAGCCCCGCCCCTAAAGCATCCCCTGCTTTATGGTCTGTTTGACTCTAAATGGACCATAATGTACTAAATGAACATCATGCTGTATTGAAGAAGACTTGAAACTAGAGATTGAGACCATAAACTCATGTTTACAATGTTTACTGAGGTAATAAATCAAGAGAGAAGTAGAGTCATTTTCTCATAGACTTCTATACAACCAGAGGAGTCGCCCCCTGGTGGACACTAGAGAGAATGCAAGTTTTAAGACACTTACACATTGGCTTCGTTTGGCAGAACCAGAGTTTGCCGCCTGTACCACACAAAGTTCTCCATAGAACTTTAAAATACACACCATGTTCTTTCAGAGAGTTAATCGTGTTAATCTGGTTGCTGGAGAAGCCAAACTCTGCAGAAAACCCTGTCTGATAACCAGCGACACATCCTGCAGTAGGAAGTACCGGCATGTTCCCGAACATACATAACTTAACACATAGCTGCTGCCACAGCCCCTCCGTGTCAAAGGGTACTTCAAGAAAATCACTTTTTCCTCGTTAATATGTAGATTTATGCAGCGAAGCACTTCAAATCTAATCAGATCATCTGCTACTATTACAGAGGGTACCGCTTAGTGTCAGTGCGACGTCTCAATTATTCTTGAGTCACGAGGACGTGTCTACAAACAGGAGACGCCCCCTGACAACATGATGCCACGCAGAGTGTCTCACACATGTGCCATGGTGGCAGCACATTAAGAGAGAAGCTATTTTATTAATGTCTGGATTATAAATTATTCAGGTGTATTACATTTTAGCCAACTAGTGCCGTTCTAGGTACTTTAAACCAAAATACCTTATTATGAAGTATAGATACTGATTTATGTTACTATTCTAACTCATTGTACCCCGAAAAACATGCAAAAAGGCCCCAAAATATGCAACTCAACTGTATACTACTAACTGTGTACTTTCATTTTAGAGGAAAACATTGTAGTAGTCACACTAGTGAAACACACTCATCTCATCTGCTCGAGTTGACTCCAGGGACGTGAAGAAGAGTTCAATTGCAGAGTCCGAACAACATGTCAAGACAGTCTGCAGAGCCCTCAAGCCCCGCCCCCCTCAGCTGCACGCAGCACTTGTTTATTCAAAGTTTATTAATATTGAACGTGTCTAAATTGCACCAAATTCGACAACATGGGTCCCCAGCGATACACCCGCAAAGTGTGAAGTAGATCGGATGAAGCGACAAATATAGTTCTATAGTTCTGCACCTGCATTTAAATCATTTATTTTTAAGAAACGCTTCGTCGGCAGCTCACCTTGAGGAAAAACTCCGTGCCTTTCTCCATGATCTGCTGGATCTGGAGGAAGCCGGCGGTGTACATGAGCAGGAACTGGTCCCCGACGTTCATGCTGAGGCGCCCCGTGTAGCAGAAGGCCAGGATCTGCTGGAAGCTCTGCGGCTGCACGGCCGGCGGCAGCTCCACCACCGAGCTCTTCCCGCCGGCGTTGAACAGATCCCGGAAGTAGGAGCTGCTGGCCGCCAGCACCGCGCGGTGGGCCTGAGGGGTAAACAGGCGCGTCACAAGGGTGTGAAGATATGTAGATTTGAGATTGTAAAGCCATGTCGTAAACACACAGCTTGTGTGCGCACTGCGCAGTCAAGTATGTGGAGGTAAGAAACCAAAACAACATGGACTTCATCTATTGTGAACTGCAAAGGGAAGAAGAATTAGTATTGATCATACGAATTGTTTCCAACTGAAAAGGAATCGTTTCCGGCTACAGTTAATTCTGAAATGAAGCCAAATTTCTAATTGCAGCCTTACGAATTCTAATTGTATTGAGCAGTAGCAGAGCCATATTATTTATTCCCATTGTGAGAGAGGAGGCCAAAGGGAGCTCAGGAAATCCATTAGAAATGATTTAAAGCAGGACGACGACGACCTGAGTCATATTTCCCTGTTTTACCGATTGATTCCAAAACGCTGTCAGCATCTCCACTGTGGAGCTAATTAGGTCTCACTGCAGCGCTCACAACCTCCAGGGCCATGAGCGGAGGGAAAAAAAGAATGAAAACCAAAACCTTCCCAGACATGTTGGTAAAAAAGAAACTGCATGCAAGAAAAGTATGTGCAAAAAACATGAAAAATAAATGTATTTAATCATATATCTTTTCTTTTGATCACAATCCTACTTTGGCCCCTCCTTTATCCTATAACACTTTCCCAGTTTTAATCCTGTGTTACTTGTTCATTCATCTCTTGTTCTATGCCAAAAAGAATCCGTATCGCTGTCTTTTCTCGCCTGTATAAAAGGTTTCAAATGTTTGATAACTCATCCTGCAATTGGAGCTCCGGGCATTCCTCTTTCTTTAAATTAGACCTCAGCCACAGGTTAGCGAGTACGGTTTAGATAACGCTAACCTGTTGAGACGTGCATGAGCTCGTTACATGACTAATAGGCTGATAAATAAGAGCACTGTGCAGCTCCCGGTAGAACTTTTCTCGAATAGGTAACAGGTATAAAAGGACCTTGAAGGCGTGTCCCTTGACCACCACGGAGACATCACAGTAGAGGCCCTGCAGCCGCTGTTCATTCAGACACTCCAGGATGTTGTTGCCAAAGTTAGGGATCGCCATCTGCAGCGTCTGAGCCATAACGCTCTGCCCAGCACCACAGGGTCTGCAGGACACAGAGAGGTAGAGGGTTAGGGTCAAGACAACAGGACCGACGGCATTCAGAGGGTATAGAGAGAGGAATGGAGGGGATGTAGGGCAGAGGAGGGAAGGAGGCAAGGAAGGGGACAAATTATAGTAATAATAAACAGATGAACTTGCATATCACCTCGTTAAAAAACTACAAAGTTCATAATTCCTTCTGTAATATCTGTTCTATACAGCTGAGAAAACATGTCCTTCAGACAGCTTCTCACCAACACTACATTTTACACGATTACATTTGAACACATCGTGATATACTCATTCTTACTGAACAGAGCTTGAACGCATCACGATGTAACTCAATGCAACCTCCGTTAACCGTTAGCTCCGTTAATTAGCCGAGCAGGACTGTGCCGCCCACCGGCTGCTAACAGCTAACGCTAACTAGCTCTTCTCCTGCCGATTTCAACATACAATAGTTATAAATTAATAGATGACGTGAAGTCAGATGGGTGCATAAACTCGCTGATACCCAATCCAACATTTTAGGCTGTATACAAGGCCTTTCTGACACTGGTATTGGAACAACTCTTAAAAGTTTAACAGTTAACAAACTATGAGAATTTTGACCAATTAGCGTCAGATATAAAAAATAAATAACATTGCAAAAGGTTTAAGAGTAGTGGCGTGTCAGTACAATGCGAATAGCTGGTCCACCTTAATGGTCAGTCCACCTTTAGTGAACCAGAGTTGTCTAACCCCCTTCGGTGTGGTTGAGGACGCAGGAGCTTGGCTTGGGTCTTGAGGAGTTGGAGCATTTAAGTGTGTAGGGTGTGAAAGTAATATACCAGGCTAAACACCCACGTGTCGTCCTCTTTGTTTACCTCTTTGGCTTCCACTGGTTACCCCGTGTTTATCGTCACATTACTATGAATTGTGGGTAATTCCCTGAGACAAAGTCTGCAGAAATGCGGGCTTACGGAAAGTCTTCATAAAAGGCTCAAAATGTCTGCGAGAGACTCAAACACTCGATGATCTGACAGCGGGACAGAACTAAACCCTTTACGGACATAAAGGGGTTGAATCCATCAACCGTGATGGATTCAACCCGTTTGTGCTTCTCGTTATCTTCAACCACAGCACCTCTGCAGACTAAGCACTGATCCTGTCGGCTAACGAGGGTCGGCTATCGGTCGGGGAAAAACAGAACCCTAAGTTAGCATCAGTGGGACGGATAGATGAGTGAAGGTGAGGAGGAGCGTGAGGAAGTGATGAGGAAGAGAGGGTGAGGTAGCACCACAGAAGAAGAAGAGGAAACGGTAGATAAAGGAGTAATGAGACGAGAATACAAAATAAAAACTGGAACATGTGCAAGAGGCAAACAAGACAGAAATGAAGAGGAGACAGACTTGAAATACATAAACAGGGTAATTGAATCGTATGATGATTAATGACTAAAGTATTTGGTAAACAACTTTAATTCAAAACTCCAACTTCGAAATGAAAGAGAATTTTGGGCCACCAGCAGTTATGTAAGCCATCTTTCTGGGCTTTTTTTTTTTTTTTAACCTTGTTTCATTACATCTAATTCACAGTTAATAGACTGTTTGGTGTTTTTTGGCCTACTTCGTTGTGTTCTCAGTCAAAACACAGCCTCTTACATAACTCGTCTCCTTCATCATCCGGCAGAGACGCCGGTGATCAGAGGAGGAGGAGGAACTGTCCAACTAGTGACAGAAAAACAAACAAGGGAATAGATCTCACAATTGATTTTTGCTCAAAGGCAGAGGGCATTGTTCTTGGCTGGACCCTTTTATTTTAGTCTATAAATGCACAATGTATACTTAGATCTACTTTAATGTGGAATAACATCTATTCTAGCTCCAGTAATGGTTTTAAATAGCGGACCTCTTAACTCTTAATTAGTGACGATATTTGTTGCTTTTGTAGTCAACTAAATAGTGAAACACAGGGCTCTAGTATTTGGTGTTAGGCAGACTGAAATGTATTCATGTCTGATATTAGAGATGAACTATGAGCTGTTTACAATAACTCTAATAATACATCATTAAAACTACTAATGACAGCATTAGTTTTAATCAATGAAAATAGAATATTTTATTTCCTTATCATTTGAATTTTGTGTTTTTATAAAGAAGAAAAAAGACACTAAAGTACGATAACAAAATAAAAGTATAACATTTAGTATTTTTGATGGTTTAACTGACTTCAGATCGGTTTAAATGATTTTTGGGAAAGAAAGTCTGAATCCTTGTGGACCAGCTGCTCTAATCAAACAACAATATGGATCAATGATCAGCTGTTAGTATCGGCTCTAAAGGTTATGTTGTTTGTTGGGTATGAATGGTTAGTTAGAGTCCTGATGGGCAGCTGGCTCCTTGCATGGTAGTCACTACCATCAGTGTATGAATGGGTGTCAACGGGTGAAATATGACATGTGGTGACTAGAAAAGCACGAAACAAGTCCAACAAGGCAAACGGGATAACATCAACTTGAGCATGAAGTTGAATACATAGAAAAGGTTTCTGATGACTTCAAAGCAATGAAACAAACAGGTCTGGACAACCTGTGCATCGGGTTCGCACCAGAGAGAAAATTGGCGAATGCAGCAAAGTTCTCCCAAATCACCCGAACAAGTTAAGAACGAATCTGTACGCACGATTGGTTTATCGCACGAGGCTCAACGCCTCCAATTAAAGCCTTACTTTAAATCATCATACTGGGACAGCCAAATTAACACAACGTACAATTACAACTCTTTCACTATATACTCTAACGCTATGGACGTAAAATAAAGCTTAGCATAAATGTTGTCATCACGTCGTGCACCTCTGAATCGTTTATAATTTGGCACAACAAATGACACTATTTACATGTCTTTATGATTCTTTACAGTTAATTTAGTTTGCACATCAGCAATAATGCAGTGGTTGTAGCTTCCAGGTGTGAATGTGAAGCAGTGTGCAGTATGTATAGCGTGCACGCTCAGCAGAACCTTTCCCTGTTGATAAATACAGGTGGGCTTCAGCTGTCCTGGGCTGCAGACTAACGCCTACAATAAGGGCAGCGCTGAGGATTAAAGGGCCATCAGCACTTCATCATAATTAATTTTAAAAGTTTATTGCAACCCATTAACTGTGAGAGATATAGGCATAGTAAGCATGGCACTGGGTTATGAGAAAGAGTAAAGCATGGCTACTTACAATCCTAGCGCTACACATTTCATCTTTATACACACACACGCACACACACACACACACACATATAGATACACACACACAGTTAAGGTTAAAATAACAACCATAGTTGGTTATCAGCATCTCTGAGCGTTTGACAGTTAGAATAAGTCACTTAAAGATTGGGCAAATGCTAATATTTAGTTTGAGTACTGATTGTGAGAACTACCATTATGATATAATCATGCTTAATTAATTGGGCAACAACAAAAAAATACAATTAAGACTGCAGGCAGAGTGCTTATTGGATCGGGAGCACTTTGTACAATATGATCTGAATAATATATGCCATCATATCAAAACACTATTAGCGCCTGAGTGTATAAATTACAGTTCTCAACTACTTGTTAAAAATCGATGTTTTGACATTACTTCCAGGCCATTGTGCCCGTGACACATTATTGTACCTTGACAGTCTGCGTCGATGTACAGAGATCAATATGCGTCACATTAATGTGCATATTATCCAACTGAAAGTGGCTCAGAGTGACATTTTCTCTGTGCATTCTGGGTCTTATCCAGTGTTGGTTTACATGCATTACTGCTACTTTATAATTATTATATCAGGACGTGGATTTATGTCTTTCAGCAGGATTAAGATTTTAAAAATAGCTGGATTTGACCTGTGCACTGGCTGGGAAAACTACTTAAGAAATAAAAATGCATGATTTGCACTGTCTGCTCCTTTCACATCTGCACTCCCCCGCGGCCTTGAGCGAGCGATTGAACCGACTGAAGCGTCCCAGTGGAGCTCCTCGACGAATTGCAGCTGCCTCTGGCTGTTTCCAGGTGTAAATACGTGCAACCGGCGTGAATAATAAGCAAGACAAAAGCATTTGTAGAGAGAAAATCTTCCCTCAAGAAGCAGCACAGCAAGTTCTACGGTTAACAACACAAGCACCAGCATTTGTGATAACAACAACAACTTTCAAGCTGCTACTTTTGTAGCTCGAACAGCAACAACTTTCTCTTTCACCAGAGTGAACCGCACATTCCTCACTTTGATTTATAAATACTGTGGAGCGTGCACATCCTAGCAGAAACCTTTAACTCCTCGCGGGTCAGAGAGGTCACAACAACTTCCAGGAAACATAAAAGGAGAGTTAATTCATACCACTTGACCCTTGGCCTGTAGTCCCCATGTGACCTATTATATGCTCTGCGTGTGTGTGTGTGTGTACTTTCCAACTTTTAAAGTTCACTTCTAGTGCCACACACTGTTTACTCTGTGCAGACTAACACACAGGCTCCAGCTAACAGCCAAACACCCTAAAAGAAGAAAGCAGTAGTAGCTCGATAGCTGCAGTCTGCTAGCTGTTATTATATAAACTATTCTGAATCAACACAACACAACACGTGTGATATCAGCATCAATCACAACCGAATCAGGCTCAGTTTCCTGGTTTTTTGGAGAGGTTAAAAGGTGGCCTGTTAGCAAGTAGCAAGCTAAAGCTATAGGCTAACACTGGCATGAGAACAACACTTCGCCAATATAAATAGAAACAAAATATGCCTTTAAATCGCATTTTTTAATGAACTCCTGCCCTGTGTGACCGTTTGTTTTAAAGGCTTAAACTGCTGCATTTTTGCACCGACACTGGTGGGAGGAGACAAGCCACCAGAATGTGGCTAAAGTGTGTAGCCTCCCTGGAGCTCGACTCAGAGACTTTTTTTTTTTTATTTACCCACATTAATTATACATTAATTATAATCTCACATGAAGAGAGAGACTGGCAGAACCACCGCAACACACACACACTCACACGTGTATCGTCCGATGGGGGGGGGGGCACGAATTCTGCCACCAAAATAATCTGCCACTAAAATAGTCGAAAGGATGAAATATTTAGCTCTTCTCTCTCCGTGCCAAGCGCGTGTCTGTCCGTTAAGACTCGTCTCCTTCCTCCTAACAGCCGAATGGCAGTTACGGGACAGACTCACGTTGTCCGAACAAAAAAAAAAAAAATGTCGCCTATGATATATCACAGCGAATTAATTATTCATTAAGAGTCGTACTCAGCCACACGGTTGTAAAAACGTTTACGCTAACGTAGTCTTTATATTTAACCCCGGTGAGTCTGTCTGGTACTCCATCTTTCGTTCTTTTTTTGCCCGACATCAACAGGTCATCCCGGGACACAAAATGCGCGAGACAGGACGGATGGATCCCGGCATGGCGAGAGAGAAGAAGAGGGGAGGAAAGGAGGGAAGGAAAAGTAGGCTGTATAATCTTAACCCCCATTTTTTTTTTACTGTCAGGACACCGAGATATTTGGGCGAATTAACGGTTGTTTTATTTATTTATTTTATTAAGAATTTGTAAACTGTACCACTAATTTTTCAGAAGAAAGTTAAGGAATGCAGGATTACAAAAAAAGAGAGCAGGACTCAAGTCACTCACCGAGGAGGAGAGGAAAGGAGACGAGTAGAAGAGAAGCCGGTGAAGTGGTTAAAGTTTGGTCGGTCCCCGTGAGCCCATCCCCCCCATAGATAGTAGCTAACACACAACTTTACCACCCATCCCCTAAAAACAATAAAACAACAATAGCTTAACCCCCCCACACTCCAACACACCGCCACCATTACACCCTTCTGACCAAAACCACCCATCCGAATTCATGATGGCACCCCGCACACACACATACACACTGTTCGGGTCTCGGACAACTGACCGACCCTGCGAGAACCGTTTGTCCTTGTTGACCCGCCGCACTCAACTCACCCCTTCTCGGGCTGTATCTACGTGTATATATCCGCCGGTAGAAGTGACTCAATGGAGGGGCCCCAGCTGCAGAATTAAAGCGGTCCAACGTCTCCCCTCCGCCTCGCTACAGGCAGCCATTCATTGTGACTGTAAGGAGAGAAAAAAAAAAAAAAAAAGCCCCGTGAACCAGCAGCCGGAGCACGCACGCGCGCACAATATCATGCGTACACATACAGGCGTTTACACGTGCGCGCGCGCACACTCACGCATGCAGGCGAGGAGAGAGAGAGCGCAGAGCTATCGAGGAGGGATTTTTTTTTGGTTTAATTCTCCCAGGGGTTGCAGACAGATCGCAGAGCTACTGATCGGCCAGACAGACAGGCAGGTAGACAGACAGACAGACATTCTGCATCGTCTCATTTGCCAGCGCTGCAACCGAATTAACACCTTCTGTACTGTGGGCTCATTTTAACATACAAATAATGAGTATCTGGTAATAATACATTATTATATTCCCAGACTTTAAACTTCCTCTATACAAAACATTTAAAAAATACTACACCTGGTAAATGTATCACGTCAAATAAAGCTTTGTAATAATTTAAATGTACCTTTGGTGGTTTTAGAGGCTCACTTTGTTTACCTCAACACATTGCACCTCCCCAAAAAATAACGTGGCAGCTGAACAATAATTCGGATGAGTAAGGGCAGAAAAGTTGACTTCAGTGCACGTGGAAATGCTGTTTTTTTTGTATCCAGTCACAACAAATGTGACATAACTACAATTAATCAGTCATTATTTATTTTTATTTCATTTTAAATCAGCCTATATTATATTATTATGAATCCAGCCTAAACAGAGGCTAGTC